AGAGTTTTGTTTCTGTGAGAACAATTACATCTGGGTTTACTTCTTGTGTTGTTTCCCTAAGTTCACTGACCTTATTTGTAATCCCATCTATGTTCGAGTACATGACCTTGAAGCTGACTCTCTTCTGTCCATTCTCAGTTTCTGTTGATTCCACTGGAGTTGAGGGGCAAGGGATGTCTGGGGGTGGGTGAGCCTAGGAAGGAGGACCTGGGGGGTCTGGGGTGTGAGGGGGCTGGGTGGATCTGGAACATGGGGGCTTGGGGGGGTCTGTCGTCATGCGGCTGAGGGGGTCCGGGGTTGGGGGTTAGTTGGGGCATGGGAGTTGCCCCAACTTTGTGTGTGTGTGTGTGTGTGTGTGTGTGTGTGTGTGTGTGTGTGTGTGTGTGTGTGTGTGTGTGTGTGTGTGTGTGTGTGTGTGTGTGTGTGTGTGTGTGTGTGTGTGTGTGTGTGTGTGTGTGTGTGTGTGTGTGTGTGTGTGTGTGTGTGTGTGTGTGTGTGTGTGTATGTGTGTGTGTGTGTGTGTGTTTTACATCCTCGCCTTGGATGTAAAAAAAAAACACTAATATGGGATGACAATTGACCTTTGGCAGCATATTTTTCTACATAATAGTGCAGCATTAGCATAACAATGGACCCTAATGCACTCTTTATCGTCAAACATCTCAGGTATTTTGTCTGCACTATATTCTACTGCCACCAGATTCCTTCATGCATCCTTCACTGTTTTGTTATATTTATTTACTTTAAGTTAAGCTCTCTCTTTTTCTCTCCCTCAGGTTCCCTTAAATACTCACCTCACTTCCCGGGGTTCGACCCCTCATGCAAAGCACATATCTCCAACCAATTTTATCTCTTCCACTTAAGATATCCCCTCGCATTTCATGTCCCTTCACACTACATATCCCCTCACACAACATATCCCCTCAAACTACATATCCCCTTACACTACATATTCCCCATACAATACAAATCCATTCACACTACATATTCTCTCACACTGCATTTCCCTTCACGCTACATATCCTTTACATTACATATCCCCTCACACTACAGATCCCCTCTCACTACATATCCTTTTATCTACATATCCCTTCCCACTACATATCCATTCACCCTACATATCCACTAACACAACATATCCCCTCACATTACATGTCCCCTCACACTACATATCCCCTCACTCTACACATCCTTTACACTAGCTAACATTCCAGCACTCCTTTGATCTAATTAGGATTACAATGGAATTCAATCTGAAACTGAGTAATAGATTCAAACTATGAACTATTACTGTAAGCGAAAGTTTATGGTGGTACAAACAGTGCAGAAGCCAAAAATTACTCGTTTAATATTTCCAGTTGATTACTCGTTGATGATTTAGAGTCATCTACTATCCCAGCCTTCCCTGGTGATTGCCGGATCTATGAGGTTGTTCGTCTTCGTCAACCGATGACCCACATAACCATCACAGCCAGTTTGATCAGTGTGGCCTCTAGCAGAAACAGGTCCTGGCTTCTCTTGAATGCTTACACTGCAGTACTAACGACGTTTCTTATTGTGCCTTTGCCTGCACTTCCTTCCATATCTCTCACTCCGGTATGTTGTGGCTGAATTGTATATTTTTCGTGCCTGACCTTCCAGTTTCATCTTCCAAGGAGTACAATTTGAGTTTTTGTGTTGATTCCAGTAGTTAAAATTCTCAAGTGATTCTATCCGTACACTAAAGGATCTCTGCATACTTGCCAGCACTGCATTCTTCCAGACATAAAAGTGAACCCGAGGAGCTAACAATATACCGAACAAGATAGCACTGATGAGTCAACCCGTCCTCTTTAAAAATAACGTCACTTTTGGCTCGTATGCGCACTATGGCCAAATTTGGACGTAATTTGAAATGAAATCGACTCACAAAAGTGACGTTCTGTTCCGTTTTCTATTTGAGTCGTCCGGCGTACGCGCAGAGGTTATCAGAGGACACTTATCGAGTACCACATTTGGTGTGGCATCCTGTGTCTTGCCGGGTCTTATTATCCGTCCTGTCCTTCTCATGGCTGTTGCAATGTTGTTTTACTGTCACTCTTTGCAATCTGTCTGTCAAACAAATATAAATCGACCTCCCTACTTAACATGTTATTCTCATGTCTGTCGTGGGGGTGTTATTCTCATGTCTGTCGTGGGGTGTTATTCTCATGTCTGTCGTGGGGTGTTATTCTCATGTCTGTCGTGGGGTGTTATTCTCATGTCTGTCGTGGGGTGTTATTCTCATGTCTGTCGTGGGGTGTTATTACACGGTCAAATCTACGGGTTATTATTCCATGGTCAAGTCTATGAAATATTTGCTCAAAATCTGTTTATACGGCAATATCATTACCATGTCTAGTTAAACCATTAGTCACAATTTACTACTGATATTGGACCAATATAATGACAGAGAACTTTCTTTCTTTCTTACATAAACATAATATTTTTTCCTTTGGTGTGCTATTTTCTGCAATATATGAGTCGTAATTGCGTTTGCCAAGACGAATAAATTTCTTTGCTATTCGCCGTGACAGAATAATACTCACACTAGCCCTCTCCTCCACACTATTTTACTCACACTAGCCCTCTCTACACCACACTAGCCCTTTCTACACCCCATTGGGCCTCTCCTCCACACTATCTTACTCACACTAGCCCTCTCTACACCACACTAGCCCTCTACTTCACACTATCTTACTCACACTAGCTTTCTCCTCCACACTCGCCTACTCTACACCACACTGGCCCTCTCCTTCACACTATCTTACTCATACTAGACCTCTCTACACCCCACTGGCCCTCTCCTCCACACTGGCCCTCTCCTCCACACTGGCCCTCTCCTCCACACTGGCCCTCTCCTCCACACTGGCCCTCTCCTCCACACTGGCCCTCCCCTCCACACTATCTTACTCACACTCACCCTCTCCTTCACACTATCTTACTCACATTAGCTCTCTCCTCCACACTATCTTACTCTCACTAGCTCGCTCTACACCTCACTGGCCCTCTCCTCCAGACTAGCCCTCTCCTCCACACTAGCCCTCTCCTCCAGACTAGCCCTCACCTCCACACTGTCTTACTTACACTAGCCCTCTTTACCACATTATCTTACACTATACTTATCCTCCACACTATCTTACTAACAATATATATATATATATATATATATATATATATATATATATATATATATATATATATATATATATATATATATATATATATATATATATATATATATATATATATATATATATATATATATATATACCTGACACAGGTAATGTCCAATTAATTCATTCATGCGAAACCAGGATCAATAGATTTGACAAACACACTAAGAAAGGTAAAATTCACGAAACATAATTTAAACAATTATTAATGAAACACATAGCAACGATATACTGACGACACTATTAAAGCAGGTGCGCATGTAGTATGTTTCATCGATCCCCCCTAACTCATACAGCCAAACCACTTGGGCTGAGCGGCAGAACAACGGTCTCGCTTTATGCATGTCGGCGTTCAATCCCCGACCGTCCAGGTGGCTGGGAACCATTCCTTTCCCCGGTCCCATCCCAAATCCTTATCCTGATCCTTTGCAAGTGCTATGAAGTCGTTATGGTCATGGCGCTTTCCCCCTGATAGGTCTCAAGTTCCCTTCGCTCATACAGCTAAGAAGTGTTTCAGTGACTGAACTAGTATTACTTACAGCATAATTCTTGGTATACATTGACACTGATTTTTTTTAAGACAAAAGCAGTTTAGGTATATTGTTTGATTTACTGAGCTTACTCCTGGCATCTGAACGCACGAAGCAGTAGCCTGAAATGTTTAATCTGCTAAAAAAATATGTTTGAAATAATGTTGATTTTTTTTCATTGTACAAGGTAATCACATTAACGTTATGAACCAATGAGAAATTGAATAGGCACCTATGGATGGATTCGAACCTGCACACTAGGAACTCCCAGGCACACGCATTAAACCTCTGTGCCACGATGTGCTACAGAAGAAGCAGCGAACTACCTTATCTCTTGCTATATATCTTCTTTCATGTCTTAAAAATAATGTCGTTTCTCTTAATCAAAATCTATTGCATAAATTATAAATTGTTAGAATTTACTACCTCTCATAATGATTTGGCGCTTTCTCCTGATAGTTCCCCTCCCCAGTACACTGGGTGCCACACGACTGTCACACTGGGTGCCACACGGCTGAGTGCCACACTGGGTGCCACACGACTGTCACACTGGGTGCCACACGACTGAGTGTCACACTGGGTGCCACACGACTGTCACACTGGGTGCCACACGACTGTCACACTGGGTGCCACACGACTGTCACACTGGGTGCCACACGACTGTCACACTGGGTGCCACACGACTGTCACACTGGGTGCCACACGACTGTCACACTGGGTGCCACACGACTGTCACACTGGGTGCCACACGACTGTCACACTGGGTGCCACACGACTGAGTGTCTCACTGGGTGACACACGACTGTCTCACTGGGTGCCACACGAATGAGTGCCACACTGGGTGCCACACGACTGTCTCACTGGGTGCCACACGAATGAGTGCCACACTGGGTGCCACACGAATGAGTGCAACACTGGGTGCCACACGACTGAGTGTCTCACTGGGTGCCACACGAATGAGTGCCACACTGGGTGCCACACGAATGAGTGCAACACTGGGTGCCACACGACTGAGTGTCACACTGAGTGCCACACGACTGAGTGTCTCACTGGGTGCCACACGACTGAGTGTCTCACTGGGTGCCACACGACTGAGTGTCACACTGGGTGCCACACAACTGAGTGTCTCACTGGGTGCCACACGAATGAGTGCAACACTGGGTGCCACACGACTGAGTGTCACACTGAGTGCCACACGACTGAGTGTCACACTGGGTGCCACACGACTGAGTGTCTCACTGGGTGCCACACGAATGAGTGCCACACTGGGTGCCACTCAACTGAGTGCTACAAGACTGAGTGCAACACTGAGCGCTACACGTCTGAGTGCAACACTGGGTGCCACACGACTGAGTGTCACACTGGGTGCCACATGACTGAGTGCCACACTGAGTGCTACACAGCTGAGTGCAACACTGGATGCCACACGACTGAGTGTCACACTGGGTGCCACACGACTGAGTGCAACACTGAGTGCCACACGACTGAGTGCATCACTGAGTGCCACACGACTGAGTGCATCACTGAGTGACACACGACTGAGTGCATCACTGAGTGCCACACGACTGAGTGCAACACTGAGTGCCACACGACTGAGTGTCACACTGGGTGCCACACGTATGAGTGTCACACTGGGGGCCACACGACTGAGTGCCACACTGGGTGCCACACGACTGAGTGCAACACTGGGTGCCACACAACTGAGTGCAACACTGGGTGCCACACAACTGAGTGTCACACTGGGTGCCACATGACTGAGTGTCACACTGGGTGCAACACGACTGAGTGCAACACTGGGTGCCACACGGCTGAGTGCAACACTGGGTGCCACATGACTGAGTGTCACATTGGGTGCCACACGACTGGGTGCCACATGACTGAGTGCCACACTGGGTGCCACCCTACTGAGTTCAATACTGGGTGCCACACGACTGAGTGCAACACTGAGTGCCACATGACTGAATGTCACACTGGGTGCCACACTACTGAGTTCAACACTGGGTGCCACACGACTGAGTTCAACACTGGGTGCTACACGACTGAGTGCAACACTGAGTCCCACATGACTGAGTGCAACACTGGTTGCCACACGACTGAGTGCTACAAGACTGAGTGCAACACTGAGTGCTACACGACTGAGTGCAACACTGGGTGCCACATGACTGAGTGCCACACTGGGTGCCACTCAACTGAGTGCTACAAGACTGAGTGCAACACTGAGTGCTACACGACTGAGTGCAACACTGGGTGCCACATGACTGAGTGCCACACTGGGTGCCACTCAACTGAGTGCTACAAGACTGAGTGCAACACTGAGTGCTACACGACTGAGTGCCACACTGGGTGCCACTCAACTGAGTGCTACAAGACTGAGTGCAACACTGAGTGCTACACGACTGAGTGCAACACTGGGTGCTTGTTACGGTATATCGTATTCGTGTTATTTCATCGCATAAAGGCACGATTATTTAAGTCATACGTTCATTATTACAGGAAGAACGAGGTTAACAACCATGGAGGTCGTTAACTGTCAGTACGGTGTGGCTCGTCCGGTGGCGGGAATTTCTGTTAGCCAATCAGAACCACCGGGCGAGGTAACGTGTGCTGGCCGGAGCATGTGGAGAAACAGACATCTACTCCCCTCCATTGAGTCAACAGGCTGTCGTCGCGTTTGGATGTGTGACCAACGGACCCAACTGTTAGTGTGCTCCACCCTCATGAAGGAAGAGGACCTCGAGGCATGGTCGACGTTCTTGAAAGTTATGGAAGATAACAGCTTTGAGATTTAGAGGTCGGCGTGGAGGTAACGATTTTCCTGATAGCGGTACAAATTGCAGGAAAGTAGATGATTTATAAGTGGGAAGATCAATCGGACAAGAGACGACCGTAGCATGGTCGTAGTATCTCTCTTATATATATTTAACTGTACTTGTGTACAATGCGCACACACACACACACACACACACACATATATATATAATAATGTAAAATATTGTATATAAGGTGATTAGAGATATATCACAATATATCCATGATGAAGTTTTATACCATCTTATTTTCTTGTCCTTTGTCAGACCTCGGCACAAAGGGTGTCACACCTGACAACAGGTCCGGCTGAGGCTGACACCTGTTCAGATTCATGTACCCCGCTGTAGTACAACGAAGCATTAGGATAGACATTCAGAATTAACCTAAATTAAATGTGTTGGGTTGTCAACAGTTCGATCCCAACAGTGCTACACGACTGAGTGGAACACTGAGTGCTACACGACTGAGTGCAACACTGAGTGCTACACGACTGAGTGCCACACTGGGTGCCACACAACTGAGTGCAAACACTGGGTGCTACACGACTGAGTGCCACACTGGGTGCCACACAACTGAGTGCCAAACTGGGTGCCACACGACTGAGTGCAACACTGAGTGCTACACGACTGAGTGTCACACTGGGTGCCACACAACTGAGTGCAATACTGGATGCCACACGACTGAGTGCAACACTGGGTGCCACACGACTGAGTGCAACACTGAGTGCCACACGACTGAGTGCAACACTGGGTGCCACACGACTGATTGCAACACTGAGTGCCAAACGACTGAGTGCATCACTGAGTGCAACACTGGGTGCCACACGACTGAGTGCATCACTGAGTGCCACACGACTGAGTGCAACACTGAGTGCCACACGACGGAGTGCAAAACTGGATGCCACACGACTGAGTGCAACACTGGGTGCCACACGACTGAGTGCAACACTGGGTGCCACACGACTGTGTGCCACACGATTGAGTGCAACACTGTGTGCCACACGACTGAGTGCAACACTGGGTGCCACACGACTGAGTGCAACACTGGGTGCCACACGACTGAGTGCAACACTGGGTGCCACACGACTGTGTGCCACACGATTGAGTGCAACACTGTGTGCCACACGACTGAGTGCAACACTGGGTGTCACACGACTGAGTGCAACACTGGGTGCCACACGACTGGGTGCTACATGATTGAGTGCAACACTGGGTGCCACACGACTGAGTGCAACACTGGGTGCCACACGACTGAGTGCAACACTGGGTGCCACACGACTGAGTTCAACACTGGGTGCCACACGACTGAGTGCAACACTGGGTGCCACACGACTGAGTGCAACACTGGGTGCCACACGACTGAGTGCAACACTGGGTGCCACACGACTGGGTGCCACACGACTGAGTGCAACACTGGGTGCCACACGACTGAGTGCAACACTGGGTGCCACACGACTGTCACACTGGGTGCCACACTGGATGCCTCACGACTGAGTGCAACACTGGGTGCTACACGACTGAGTACCACACGACTGAGTGCAACACTGGGTGCCACACGACTGAGTGCAACACTGGGTGCCACACGACTGACTGCATCACTGAGGGCCACACGACTGAGTGCAACACTGGGTGCCACACGACTGACTGCATCACTGAGGGCCACACAACTGAGTGCAACACTGGGTGCTACACGACTGAGTACCACACGACTGAGTGCAACACTGGGTGCCACACGACTGAGTGCAACACTGGGTGCCACACGACTGACTGCATCACTGAGGGCCACACGACTGAGTGCAACACTGGGTGCTACACGACTGAGTACCACACGACTGAGTGCAACACTGGGTGCCACACGACTGAGTGCAACACTGGGTGCCACACGACTGACTGCATCACTGAGGGCCACACGACTGAGTGCAACACTGGGTGCCACACGACTGACTGCATCACTGAGGGCCACACAAACTGAGTGCAACACTGGGTGCTACACGACTGAGTACCACACGACTGAGTGCAACACTGGGTGCCACACGACTGAGTGCAACACTGGGTGCCACACGACTGACTGCATCACTGAGGGCCACACGACTGAGTGCAACACTGGGTGCCACACGACTGAGTGCAACACTGGGTGCCACACGACTGACTGCATCACTGAGGGCCACACAACTGAGTGCAACACTGGGTGCTACACGACTGAGTACCACACGACTGAGTGCAAACACTGGGTGCCACACGACTGAGTGTAACACTGGGTGCCACACGACTGACTGCATCACTGAGGGCCACACGACTGAGTGCAACACTGGGTGTTACACGACTGAGTACCACACGACTGAGTGCAACACTGGGTGCCACACGACTGAGTGCAACACTGGGTGCCACACGACTGAGTGCAACACTGGGTGCCACACGACTGAGTGCAACACTGGGTGCCACACGACTGAGTGTCTCACTGGGTGCCACACAACTGAGTGTCACACTGGGTGCCACACGACTGAGTGTAACACTGGGTGCCACACGACTGAGTGCAACACTGGGTGCCACACAACTGAGTGTCACACTGGGTGCCACACGACTGAGTGCAACACTGAGTGCCACACGACTGAGTGCAACACTGTTATCCTGTGGTCATTGGGACTCATTCCACCTGTGTCCTTGTGCGTGTCCCCGTTAAATAACTTTTCTACCTTCAATCCCTGAATCTTGAAGGTATATGTCCCCACTCTTCTGTCTTCCAGCGAGTGAGGTTTTTCCGTATCTCTCCCTAGTCTACTCCAGTGGTACAGTTGGTGGTTGTTTGTTGTTTTTGTGTTGGTTGTGGGGTGTTGGTTGGTGTTGTGGTTGTTCTGTGTTTTTAAAAGTTTTGAGTTGTATGTTGGAGCTGGATTGGTGATGTTATGTTGAATGTGTTTTTTTTTTTTTTTTTTTTTTTTTTTTTTTTTTTTTTTTTTTTTTTTTTTTTTTTTTTTTGGCAAAGCGGGAAAAAAAGGGGTTTTTGGGATTGAAAATTTTAATTTACCTTTGGCCCCCCAATTTTCCCAAATTTACACCAGTCCTTTGTCCTCCACTGGTCCAAAACGATTTCTTATTCATCGTTAGAGTGAAGACTAGGTCACCCTGGTTGTAATTTCTCTCACCTTGGGTTCTCGACATGCTGGTTAAAAAGGCTTACTACCTCAAATTTGCCCCACGTATCCCCCCATGCGGTTCCTTTCCTGGTGGGGTTTGTGGGGTGTGGTTTGGTGACCACCACTACTCACACATGGTCCACGGACTGAGCAACACTTGGTCCACCTCAACCGAATCAAAAGGACAGATTGGCATACTGAGCCACACTTCACACACAGTGATACTCAGCCCACACACACACCTAACCACACACTGTAAAACTGACCAACACGTTCAAACTCGTGCCCACGGAACAGTTCAACCTGGTCCCCTGTGTGCCCACACGTTAATGACCTTTCACCACAACACATTTGCCAAGACGATGCCCGATCACGATCAGGAAAAGGTCCCACGACTCTTCCACATCACCACCACTGGGTTCATGGTGAAACCTGTCCTCTCCATTTGCCACGATTGATGACCTCTGCCCGCTGTCACCTGGTTCCTCATTGTGGTATACAGTCCTAAGATTTTACAAGTTGCTGAAACGTGTGCCAGCTGGATGCACTGGTTCCGCGATAGCTGAGTGAAGGTCGACTGATACAACCGGGCACACCTTTACCCTGAAGAATGTCCTGTGAACTTTATGCTCCTGGTCCACACGACTTCATACTTACCAGGTGACTCTACAACATTGTCGACCTCTTAGGCCACGCTATGAACACAAATGTCCCTCGCTAATGCAACCATATGCACAATGCCAAAATGAGGGAAACGAATCGAGACACCGGGTGACCAACATAATCAAGATGGGACCACACAGGCCCGGGACGGTGACCACGCCATCCAATCTCAACCTACGTCCCCGCTTCTAGATCCACATGACCATGAACACTTCCAGCTACCCTGCCTGCCCCAGCTATGTCCACCTTTCATGAGTGCAAATGGTCCACAACCTAGATCATGCCACCTCTTCTCACTTATTCTCACCGATCAAAATTCTGCAGCCACAGGCAAGATTACCATGTGATCATTGGGAATGAGACACATGTTCAGATGTGTAACAGTTTTCCACACGATCTTGCATCACTTGATGTATCAGTCATGAATGCCCGGCGTGCCTCGCTGTGCCCCTTGGATGGGACACTTGCCCATCATTTTCTGTAGGTTCCCGCCTGGTGAAACTTGCCATGAGACTGGCAGCCAACGGTTCAACCTTGGCCCAGGTGAGTCCACTGGCCACAGCCTTCAACATCCAGATCCACAGGTGTCTTTGATCCCCTGTAATTTCAAACCTCCAAGGCCCTGGTTACCTCCCTTCTCCTAGCACAGGCCTCACCTGTTCTATGGGCCCGGCCCCGGTTTAAAAAAAAGGGAATTGGCAAAAAACTTTGTTTTTGGATTAGGGAGGTTGGTAAACCTTCCAAGTGACTCTCACTGAGGGCCCCGAGGTCAAAGGGTCCCCCTGTATCCTCCCAAATTGCAACCTGGGGCAACGGAGAAAATGATGAACCGGGGCCAACCCTATGAACAAGGGTGACCGATACGACCTGGGGCCACCGTGATCAACATGGGGTTCACCTAGTAACCCTGGTCAAACCTGGGTCCCACACTGGGCAACCTTCCACACCTGCTGCTCACTAGGGCCAACCCTATGCCAAACTGGGTCAAGCTTCCCAACACAGGAACATGGGGCCCACCCTTCTACTGGGGCCACCGACTGATCAACACTGGGGTTACCCTGATCCAAGGATGCAACATTCCCAGATGGTAACATTCCCACGACTTCAACTGGGTGAACATATGACACTGGGCCCCGATAGTGCCCGGGTGCCCCCTGATTTGGGGCCACAAAAGGTTCAATGGGTGCCCCGCTAGTGAAACCCCAACACTGAGTGCACAGGGCCCACACTTCAACCTGGTGAAATCCAACCTGACCACAACCCTAAAACCAAGATCGGAGGTTGTCCTGATTTGATTTCAGGCTTGGAAACTCCCCTTGGAAAGTGCCCACAAACACAAACATACACCTACACACTCGCCAACATGACCCATTCACACTCACACACACACACATCTACACACACACTCACACACAAACACAAACACACACACACACACACACACACACACACACACACACACACACACACACACTCACACACACACTCACACACACACACACACACACACACACACACACACACACACACACACACACACACACACACATCTACACAGACCTAAACGAACCACGTCTACACGCACTCGTGCACAACCACACATAAACAGACATCTACACAAACCAAACATTCTCATACACCCACCTATTCGGACCACAGCCAGTTAAATGACCCACACAAACAAAAACACCTTTACGGCCAAAACACGCACATGCCGCATACGCAGTCGACGAACACACACAAACAAAACCTACGCGACCAACACTTTTACAAAAAATTCACCACCAACACTGGTCTTTAAATGGTGAAATCTCTGTCTCTCTCTCTCTCTCTCTGTCTCTCTGTCTGTCTCTCTGTCTCTCTGTCTCTCTCTCTCTCTCTCTCTCTCCTCTCTCTCTCTCTCTCTTTCACTCATTCTCTTTAGGTACATTAGATAGTTGCTGAAAATAAAAGGAGCTGTAGTCAAAGTAGGTAATGAGGTACAAGTAGGTTGCAGCAAGGATGAGTTGAAAGTTAAGGTCAGATATACAGAGCGGTGACACACATCATCAAGAGGGTAAAGATGGAGGGGGTGAACGCTGTATATGGAAGGTTTTCAGGCGTAGCTGGTAAACAAGGACAGGATTAGATACTATACACAGATGAGTCTACAAACGCGAAAATTCGTTAAAAGAAAAGCAACTGTTAAATATACTGGAATACAGAAAATTGCTCCTTCAGACGAACATGACGAAGGACGAGAGAATCATGACAGCAGATGCAAGGAGAGGGAAACGAACCGGAGAACGACTGTCGTGAACCCAGCAAACTAAATGATTAGTGGGCAACCATCCACCAGCATGTTAGCAAACCCAGACCGAAGTGTAACAACACGACCTCCCAATCTCATAGAAACGATCTCCCACCCTATCTAATGACCATCATGCACCTTAACCCAGTAATTCCTTGCTCCCCCCCCCCCCATCCCTCTGTCTATTTCACCTTCCCCCAAAATGTAAGCTTAGGCAAGACCTAAGCCTCGTCCCACCTAGCACCTTACCAACCTCTGAACCTCATTTAAATAACTCACACAGCAACAAACCCATTCAGATCGCCCTGCCACAGAACAGCTTCCACGACCAGTGGAATGGATGTCAAGTTTGAGAGTAAGTGAAAATGTACAGATGAAAGGGAGCTTTAATGTAACGTACCCAAACATAGATCTTGAGGTTATCTTGAGATAATTTCGGGTCTTTAGTGTCCCCGCGGCCCGGTCCTCGACCAGGCCTCCACCCCCAGGAAGCAGTCCGTGACAGCTGACTAACACCCAGGTACCTATTTTACTGCTAGGTAACAGGGGCATAGGGTGAAAGAAACTCTGCCCATTGTTTCTCGCCAGCGCCCGGGATCGAACCCGGGACCACAGGGTCACAAGTCCAGCGTGCTGTCCGCTCGGCCGACCGGCTCCCTCCAATCCCTAGATGGGATTAAAAATAAAGCAAGCTAACATGGGAAAATATCACAAGAAGAAAACCCAGATGTAATGCCACTCATAGACACAAAATTATCATGTATCGTAGCTAATGAAGTGTTTCCACAGGACTACTGTAAGGTAAGGAAAAAGAGGGAAGGAAGGGAGAGGTGGAGTGACCCTGCTGATAAAAAAGAACTAGTGTTTGAAAGAAATGGATACCCAAGGCTGTGAAGTGTTCAGAGACTACATAACAGGTACTGGGACAGTGGGAGGAACAAAAATAAAAGTAGTAGTATTACAGAACTTCCACGCTAAATAACAGACGACCCAGACAGGATTATTATAGGAATTGAGCAACCAATAATATAATAGAGAGAGAGCAACCTTTATCGCTTGCAAGAATGGATCAAAACATGTAATGATGGTAGACTTCGCCAATGGAAGGTTAGACTGAGAGAACAGACAACTATGTGTAGGAACATATAGATGCAGATCTAAACTACTGGACGTGGGAACGAGAAACGTTTGAAGTCAACATGTCGCGGGACCCAAAAGTATGATAGCAAATGATGAACCATCTAGACTTTACCTGATATTCACACTGAACGACTCAGGCATAATGGAAGTCAAATTAGACTCACCCCATGGGAATTAGTGACAACAATGTGATGACATTTGAACATTTGGTGGAAGTAGGAATCACCTACTTAAGGAAGGTACCAGAAAGCAGAGGCTGGCATACTGAAGGGGAAACTATGATACGATGAGAAAATTCCTAATCCAAATATAATTGTAAACAGAACTCAGATTTAATACTATTCAAGACACGATGGACTACATTACCCCACGAGTGTCAGTAGGTAGAAGTCAAGTTTATTTCAGTTCTAAAGAACAAAATTAATTGTAAAAGAGGAATCAGGGGATTATCCAAGCAAGACAACTGGGTTCAATAGCATGGATAATGTAAATAGAACATGGTGAAAATGACATTGACAGCAATTATAAGTGTGTGTGAAGAACTCAACACAAGACGTAGTACCTGGACTGTGAAAGTTAGTGATTAACCAAGCAACATTGGAAGAATTGGATGTTACTAGAAAGGAAATTAGAAGATCACTGCTGAAACTGGACACGACGAAGGCTGATGGGCTTGGCAGAATATCACCAGAGATACAAAAAGAGAGAGATTGAAGAGGCACTATGCATGTCACGCTTTATGGTGTATAGTAGGTCACTGGAAACACATGACCTTCCAGAACGCTGGAAGACAGCTAATTCAGCCCAAATATAAAACAAGGTGATAGGAAGAGGGCACTGAACTTCAGGCAGGTGTCTCCTAACTTGTATGCCATACAACGATAACTAGAAGATTATGAGAGGAGAGCAAGTAACATATCTGGAGAGAAGGTAGCTGGTAACACCACCACCAAGACGGGTTCAGGGAATGTAACTGTTGCCTCACTGGAACAATATAATTTTATGACCAGACAACAAAAAATAGATAAGAAAGAGAAGATGGGCGAAGCTTTATATTTTTTAAATGTCGGAAAGTCTTTGACACAGTACCCCATAAAAGGCTGGAGCATAAGCTGGAGAAGCAGGCAGGCATAACAGGAAAGGTGCTCGAGTGAATAAGAGAGTACCTTAGCAAGAGAAAACAGCAAGTTTCTGCGAGGGAAAAGTTCTCGAATAGAGATATGTCACCATCGGAGTGTATTCGGACCTATCCTATTTCTAACATACCGAAACGATCTTCCGTAAGATATAGACTTATTCCTCCAAATGTTTACTGATAAGTCAAACATTATGAGAATGACTGTTAAAGGAAGATAGCATGAAACTGCAATTGAACTGAACAAAGTGAAAGAATATTTTAATAAATAACTACTAGATTTTAACTCAAATAATTGTCAAGTAATGAAAATAGGTGCAGGGAGCAGCTAGAAGACCAGACACACAGTACCAAGCTGACCATTGAGAGATGAACTCCTTCGAAATTCAGGTTGAGAAAACTTATATCCCGAAGCCATCACAAAAGGATATAATCAGCAACATACGCGAGATCTTTTTAATTGTACAGGTGGTTACATAAACAGACGCTGGGGAACTGAACTGCCATTAGAAACGCTTGTACGGAATACTTCGCAACCTTGTATATCGTAAATGTCAGACCAATCCAGGAATATTCAGCTCTAGTGTGGAGTCCATATCTCTTCAAACATGAGACGAAGCTAGAGAAAGTTCAGATATATGCCTCCAGACTAGTCCCAGAGCTGAGAGGTACGAACTGCCAGGAAATGCTACAGAAATTAAACCTCACGACAATAGATGACAGAAGAGATGGGGAGACATGATTGCCACCTACAAGATTCTCAGAGGAATTGACAGGGTGGATAAAGATAGAATATTTCGCATGGGCGGATCTCGAACGAGGAGACATATGAGAAAACTTAGTTCTCAATTCAGCCACACAGATATTAGAAATAAATTTTTGCTGTCAGAATAGTGAACAAATAGAATGCATTAGAAAGTGATGAGGTCGAGGCAGACTCCATACACACAGTTTCACATCCTGATGGGATAGAAACCCAATAGGCTCTGAAACCTGCACACCAGTTA